ACCCCTCTTAAGGTGTTTGCCACGTGCACAAAATCTGCAATCAACTCAGTTCTGGACTTACCTTGTAGCGTCGGTTGTTATGTCAAACACACATAGCTTATTCTAGTTACCGAGCCGGTCTACTTATTCATTCTTCTTGAGCCACAGTTTGATCTTGTTAATTATTCGCTTGTCGACATAGACTATATTATTATGTAATCGTATGTGTGTACATTTCCTATCTTACTAATCACATGTCTGTAACTTATCTTTGTCTGACTATAAATATTGATTCACGCTTGGTTAAGTCGAGTTGGCTCACATGCCTTCTTCAATCCATTTTACTTCTCTTTCTCCTCTTCGTTTTCATCGCTCCTCCTCCCTAATTATTTGTTTAGATCAACGATTATATGAAATGTACTCATTTAAACTTCATTCTTGTATTTGACTTATTTAATCCCGTTATTCACTAACATGATCTAAGTTGATGATTATATACGACTATTGACGGAATGTATGTTTCGTCAGCATTCATCCTATGATTTAAATGGAGTCAGATAATGGGTCACCAAAACCTTTTCAGTTACTGTCATTTGTTACTCATGTTTTTGATATTTAGCTCTGAGCCAGATACCTGAAATACCTGTAACTTTTTAATGATGACATTGATTGTTCTCTAAGATTCAATCCCGTACAACATAAATGCTTTAAATTTACTGCTGAATAGCTTAACTTTTGTCGGGGGTGATGATTCTCTTAAGTTCCAGATATTTTCCCATTACATAAATCTTGTATTTTAATTCCAGTTTCATGTGTTCACATATACATCAAATGCTTCTTGCTTCCTAGGTACGTCATGATTACTAACTTTCCCAAAGATTTACTATCATGTATGCTTTGGTTGATGGGCACTGAGTGGTACTTCTGGATGTTGCTTAGAACTTAATGAATTGTATTTTCTATGTTCAAAGATGGAAACACATCCAATTTTAAAATTTTGCACAAAAATTAGGAAATCGTTTTCTCATTTCTGATTGGTTCATCTTGATAGTCTAGTTTTACCCTATAAATCAATTACAAAACCAGATTGTTCTAATCATGAAATCTATTGACATTTATAAACTTTAATGTTTTGTTTGTTTGTCTGTTTTTTTCTTTGGTATTTTATCTATTTGGCCATGTGATATCAGTCTAAATTGCAAGGAATTTGACCTTTTAATGTTTTGGTTGATAACTTCAATTTATAGAATGTTCTTTGACCTATCGGTTGTATGAAGATTATCGTAAAGGAAGTCCGTGAACTCAATGGATTAGGGGATATTTCTTGTTATAACTTTATTTCATTCATAATTTGATACTTACTTACTTTAATATCAGAATAGTTCTTGTGGAGATAGTAGTAATTTCAATAGTTGAGATTATCCAACGATGTAAATGTCTAACTTCAACTAATCTACTGGTCACTGATTCTCAATAGAATTGTAGGAAATACCTCATGAAGTCAGTCAATATTGAGCATATGTTGATTAGTATCAGAAAGGGTTTTGTGGAAATGTATATCCTAGAGTTCTAGTAAGTAGTGACCAATGGAGTTCAACAGGATCTGTTGTGAGATAGTAACTCACTGGTGACAATGGTGACTGTGTCGCTCAATTCCGTGGATTAAATGAAGTTAGACATAAACATCGTTGGAATGCCGGCCAGCTCACTGGTCTAGTGGTTAAGCACTGGCGCGTGAGACTGATAGGTCCTGGGTTGGAATCGCCCGAGGTATGGTCGGGCATACGCACTACTGAGGAGTCCCACAATAGCATGAAACGGCCGTCCAGTGATTTCAGGTTTCCTATGGTGGTCTAGCTTCAAATGACTCATGATCTCATCTATTGAACTTACTTACTTTACTTACAACTTTTATTTCATGTGAAGGAACGTAGGTCACTCAACATAATTCTCCATCCAACTGTGTCCTGGATAATCCTTTCCATTTTTTTGCAGTATTTATTCACCCTTTTCATATATAATTATTTCCCAATATAGTGTGTTCTTTGGCCTTCATTTTTTCCACTTCCCTTCAGGATTCCAAGTTAGAGATTGCCTCAAGATGCAGTTTGATGGTTTTCGAAATATATGTCCTAACCACTTTCAACAACCTGGTTTTTTATCTTTCATAGTAGGCTGTTGCTGATGCTTTCCAGTCAATGGATATTGAGTATCTTCTGTAGACAACTATTTATAAATACTTGTACTTTTTTGACGAAATGATTTTATCACGATCCAAGATTGACCCAAATGAGGTTATTAAAGGTCCTGGTCCATATGCTCAATGTGTACTTTTTTGATGATGGTTATGGTAGGTCTCCATGTTTCAGCTCCTTACAGTAGAACTGTCTTAATGTTCATGTAGAACACCATGTATAAAACTGATTATTTAGGGAGATTTATGAAAATTCCTACCAAAATAATAAGTGAATACCGTATCCGTAGTTGCTAGGAGAACAAAAAAATAAAACAATTAAGAAAGTATTTTAATCGTGAGAAAAATATGTCAGTTCTACTACAGATTGTTTACTATCCATTGGGAAATGTAAAGTGATAAGGTATTTCGGGAACTTTTGTTTCTGTATACTCATTAAAGTTAAATATGCATGAGAAATTCAATCCAATTTAATTGTGTGTATAGTCGAGATAAACTATAAAAAAGAGCTTGGTATTGTTTGGCTTGTATCCCATTGCGGATTAAGACTGCATTTGATCAGTTTGTTATTAGCATATGTGCATACTGTGCGTATGCCTTGATATTGCCTTAATTCACAAGCTTTTTGTAAGCAATGATGAATCCCAGAGTGAAGATCAACTCTGAGATGCAGGTAAATCCGGCTGACGAGTCCCAGATAGGACGAAACGCGCGTCAAAATGGATTCCACTGCTAGCCACTACCCATCATTGCTTATAGAAAAGAGCGCCCTAATATTCAATGTTGTATTCAGAATGTATTTCCATTTATTAGATAGTGAAAGTCATAGTAACCAAAATCACTTGAATAGTAATGTAGTGTGTACCACTAATGTCAACAGATATAAGTAGTTTGCATCATCAGTCGATTTTGAAATGTCTGGAGGCAGATGATTAAGTAGATCGAAGAGAATAAAACGAAAACAGTGAATGATTAGTGTGGAAATGAAAGAACAATGAAGCCTGAGACAATCGATTGACATTTTGCAAATGGACTATTTACTGTACAGATCTTATATGTTACTAAGATTGTGTTCAAATGAATCTGATTCTCCTCACTTCTGTCCTCGTTCACTAAAGATGTAGCCACAGAAATACTGTAGTGAAAAGAACACGGGTGGGGACAATCGAATGTATTTATCACAAAATTACAGGACTTGTTCATAAAATCTAACAATCATAAAGTAAATGCTTAATTTGCAAAATGTCCATCAAAATGACTCATACTTCATTGTTCTTGCATTTTCATGCAAATTGCATCCTGTTTCCATTCTTTACTGTTCGATCCTTTTGTCTCTCTGCCATCAGAACTTCTGTTCACGACTAACATCATATACTACTTATATCAACATAAGTAGCACACACCACAATTCTATTTATTAAGTTGCTTTTCGTCCCATAATCTTGGTTTTCTAGATTTATAACTGTTGTTGTAATCCAGAATACAAATAGATGGAAAAAATATTAGATTATTATAACCAGCAATCGTGAAATGACATTCAAATAGGCTTTCAAATTCACCTCAGTCATTACTACTCTTATGAATTGCATCATTGTGAATTGAGTTTAGAATATGTGAATGAATGGGAAATTTCGTAAATACGAACATGAGATCTAACATGACTAGATCTATGGGATGACTAATACCCGAAGACATTTCAAAAATGACAAATCAAGCCTGAATGATAAAGCAGAGATTTCGATTATTAATTATGCCATATCTTGATAACAATAAATAAGTGTAAACATTATCTTGACGTGTACTGTTACTATTTAAATAAATTGTTATATCCATATAAGAATAAATGAATGATAAATTTTGAGATCCATTTATCGACCTATACTATGAGTATATTGTTATCGTGTAATTGTTATGTAACTAAACTGTTCATATTCATGCCGCTCTTATTATAAGCTTTAATTTGACTCATAGACTATTACTATACGATTTACCATTCATGCGTTATGGCCTATCTATTAATTACTATCTCCCACATTCACAGCAACATTTGACTAAATCTTGTACAAATGTTGTTTCCTATTTTATGGTACGTTGTGGTCTGGCTGGTTGATATATAAACCGAGTATGTTTGAAATACATGATTTATATTGCAGAGGCTGAGATCAGTGTTCTCGACTTAACTGGCTGGGCTGGGCGGAAAGCATGACTAATCAGTACCCTAGGCTGCTCGCAAGTGTTTTATGAGTCACTGGTTCGATCGGTGATTCGCTGCTCTCTGATTAGCGGTATCTTTGCGTTATACAATAAACAGGGCACACAGGTTCACAAGTTATAACATAAATAATCTGTAAATAAAGTCGAATCTTTTCAAGATTATTCATTTCTTCACTAAGCTAACAAATTCATGACATTCTAGTCAAACAAATAACTTTTGGGTAGGTATCATCAATAAAGTTAGATGATGGATTGAATAGACATACTAGAGAACTGTAAACCACTATGTATCACCTTAGTTATTCAATACATGAGATTCCTGATGATCCTGAGTTTGATTTCTGATGAAATCGTATCTTGTCTTTTAAATCAAAATTTTAATGCTTTACGGAAGCCGTACTATTCAAAGGTTCTTTTCCACAAAAAATTAGTTAAAAATCTTCATTCTTACTACTGAGCTTTATTCACAACTAGTCTATATTACGCAATCTATTCTGTTTCCATGCCATTCTGTAATATAAAATCGATATTGTGAACGAATGTTTAGATAAAGTTAGAAATGAGTATCATTTTATTCATTTCATGAAGTGTACATTTTTCCCTTTATTTACAGTCATATATGCAGTAAATACAATGGACAACCGGTATGTTGTCCAGGTTGGAGAAATGGTATTGGAGCACCATGTATAATACGTGAGTTTATTTACTTTATCGTTTTCTTTTCTTAAAATAAAAAATAAACTGAATTAATATTTTTTGTCTGATCAGAATGAAAATTTGTGAAGATTGTAATAATTTTAATAGTTGAATTCATGAGTCGATCTAAACTAGATCACCATTGAACACTTGGAAACGCTGGACACCTGTTTCGTCTTAGATCCATTCTGATAATGATCATCATGTACTCAGCAGTGACTAACTTCATGATGGATTTCATGAAGTTCTAGAAGAAAAGACTTAACCAGTGGAGTTCAGTTCTTGTCGGTTATAGACATTCATTCGCTTCAAACACTGGATGAAGGGTTGTGAAAGATCATGGATCGATTGAAGTTAGACATTAACACCGTTGGATGCTGGCTCAGCGATCTAGAGGTTGATTGTTTGCGCATGAAACCTAAGATCCTAGGTTTGAATCACGCGTGCGGTACCGTAAATGCGCAATGATAAGAAGTCCCATACAAGAACGGGATGAATGTCCAGTACTTCCAGGTTTTCAATAGCGGTCTAACTTTTTTCTATTCATGGATTCGACTATTAAAGAGAATTCAAAGTCATCATATTTGTCTGAAGATTTCAAAAACTTAGGTTGGTTTATAAGTTCGTGGCTGAATGGTAGTCCTTAACGACTGTCAGTTTGTGATTAAACGATTATTAAATGAAATAAATATCTCGTGAATAGCCAGTGAATAAATCTACTAACTCAATGAATAAAAATCTATTTTTTGAACTCATGAACCAATCTAATTTAGGAAACCAATGAGAACATTTAAACAATGGAGGAATGTTTCATGTCAGTATTAGACTCCTTACCAATGTGCACTCCCAACTTCTCATTCAAGAATCAGACACAGGATCTTCGGTTTTATCTACGGACATTTAACGTCCAGACTATCGAAGTCGCAATAACGAAGTTAATCAAAGTTTATTCAATTTACAATACAGAACGATCATTTTCCTTTCTCTTTAGTGGATAAATGTTTCACATTCAACATAATTCAACTTCACTAGTCATACGTTCTCAAAAGAACTCCGGAGAATATGATGATTCTCAGTATGGCGTAGTGAAGTTTATTGAATTTTACTAAAAATTTAAACTAATCTTAGTTCAAATTCACTTGGTGTTGTTTTTATTTCTATCTCCCCATTATTATTTAGGGTTACAACTAATCAGTCTCATATCGGCACATGCGCATCCTGTGCGGATTGCCTCGATATAGCCTTAATTCATAAGCTTTTTAAGCAAGATGGATAGTAGTTAGCAATTGGAACCCAGTTTGACGCGCATTTCATCCTAGTCGGGACTCGTCAGTTTGGATGTACCTGCATTTCAGAGTTGATGTTCACTCTGAGACTCGAACTCAATACCGTTCGCTTCAAACGCTATCGCGTTATCCACTTAGCTACTGAGTTGTGATAGCCACCTGTTTGTGCAATGGGGTGAAGTTTAAATTCCCTTGGTCTTGTTATGTTTGTATCTTGCCATTGTTATTTGAAGCGAACGGTACTGGGTTCGAGTCCTGGTGTGAATATCAATTCTGGAATGCAGTTACATCCAGCTGACGAGTCTGAAATAGGACGAAACGCGCTTAAAAAACTGGATTCCATTTCTATTTTACAATCAATCTTTACTAATCTTATCTCATTTTTTTAATGTATTAAGATGAAATAAAGCTAATCTAAATATAAGAATCAACTTGTCTAATTGAAATATTCATTTCGTTGTTATTTTATTACTGAAAAAGTAAATTCGACTTTTTTTCTTCTACTTATGGAATTGATATTAACAAGTAAATTTACATAATTGTCTAATATGTAAATCATAAAGTGGAAAACATGAATTTTATCAACGAAATATGGTAAAAACATGATACTCTTCTATTCGACTAACAAACAGCATTAGATGAATGGAGAAAATACTGAAGAATAGAAACATGTTGCTTCAGACATTTCTTTATAGATTTAGAAAGAAATCTATCAATATTCTTAATATATTTATATTGTGATTAGACGAGGATCAATGGAGGATTCATAGTTTATCATAGTTTGAATCCCTAAAAGTCCTGGAATGGACAGAGGGTGGGGAAAGTTAGCTCCCCCTCTCGAAATGATCTCTTAAGGCCACGCATATACAATCACTAACATGAATGTCCTAATCACTGAATTACCACGACATTATTGTTGTTTACAAAACGAAGAGGATGAAAAGCGAATGTCCGGTGCTTTAACGGGGTTGGTGGATATGAAGGATTTATCTAGGGGAGTTGAAAAACCTTGATTCTTAACCAATGGTGCACATTGCATTCAAAATTCTAAGGAAAAAAATTTCGTACCAACCTATTGTTGGTCACCAACTACCATGGGTGATGTTGCTCCACTGTTTTGTGGATCAGACCTTAAGGGTAAAGGCTATGTGTGTGGCTCCCTAAGAAAACCACATGGTCTGGACACCCGGGTGGTATCACAGCTCACACATAAACTAATTGACTTGTGTGGTTCATATGTAATCGGTGCCAATTTGTATCAATAGTTATGTGTCCAAATAAATAAATAAATAAATCATTGAAATCGCAATTTTGTTGTTCGCGCTGAGACTCAGTCTTGATTATAAACGACAAGAAAATATAGATCTGTTTTAAAATTGTCAGAATATATCTTTATGTTAAGTAATAAATCATATAGTTAATGACCATTTCAATTTAGCTGATATACGCAATGAAATGGTTAGCTAATTCATGGTATCTAAAAAAACTGTATTAAACTAAAACGTGATTATTAGAATCTAATCAGCACTAAACGATCAGATGCATATAACATTTGTCATTACTCAGCAATATATTATACACAAATATGTTAGTCCTTCAGAATGATGGTCATGAATAGAATAGTGTAATGGTAAAAACTTAAATTGGGTTGCATCGACACCCGAATTAATGATAGGGAGTGAAGTAGTTGAGCGTGTCGACCGCTTTAATTATCTTGGAAGTCTCATCAACCCTTGTGGTCTGATGTGTAACAAAATCTCAGCACGGATACAGAAGGCTCGACTAGCTTTTGCCAACTTGCGTCATTTATGGCGTAGGCGAGATATCCGTCTGCCAACCAAAGGACGTGTTTACTGCGCAGCAGTTCGTTCCGTCCTACTTTATGGCAGTGAAACATGGCCGGTAAGAGTAGAGGATATTCTTAGGTCACTAGTATTTGATCATAAGTGTCTTCAAAACATTTCTCGTATATCCTGAGACCATCGAGTAAGTAATGCACTTGTTAGGAAACGGGTACTAGGTATGTATGGCGAATCAATTGAGGATGTAGTGAAACTTCATCAGTTGAAATGGCTGGGACACGTGTTACGTATGCCCAACGACCGACTGCCTCGACGTGCGATGTTCAGTGGTGTAGGAATAAGTTGGAAGAGATGTAGGGGCGACCAGATCAAAACATGGCACAAGTCCATGAAGTCACTGACAAGTGGTCTGTGTCATGTTGGTAGGTGTAGACTACCTGGTTGGGATCTGTGAGATGATTGCTACCGATGGTTAGAGACCCTGAATGACATGGCTCATAATCATTTGCAATGATGGAGGTGCATTCACTCTTTGTGTTCTCCCAAATTCTAATCTTCTGAATTCTTTATGTCCCTTATTTTCTTTCCAAATTTATTTCACTGTATTATACTTCTTGAATAACATCTTCAAACTCTAGTGTTTGCGATTACTGCTTATACTCTTACTACCTCTACCACTATGGAATTTTAATTGACAACTGCATTTCTGTTCTAATGTGGTGTGGCAACTCGAAATGATTTACGTACGTACGGAGTTCTACGTTGTTACTGACTGACTGAGCAACATAAATTGAGAGGCTGGATAAAATTTTTATGAATCCTATTGGAAGTACTGTGATGAACAGTTGATAAACTTTGAGGTAATATAAACTGTTAGCTAGATGTCTTGTTGTGATTTTGTTGAAGACGTTAGATCCCCGGAACTCACTTGAAAAAAGTCCTAATTTTATTCTGAAAATTTGAATTTTATGTTTTCGCACCAAGAGACGCTTTGTTGACCTACAGCTTACATTTGCCACTCAGAACTCCTTGACTGTCATTGGTTGATGGAATTTTTTTTAAACTCTATTTTGTGGCTCTCCCAAGGGCGTTATTATTATTGATTTGTGTGCTTAGCTACCTCGTATTTTCTGGCTGGTGGTAGAATACATTTTCTACGCCTCATCAGGACTTCTTAATCTAGTTAGCAGGACCAGAGAAAACGGATTAGATTAGCCTATTGTTTCATTGTATCTTTTACATTCCTTCAGCTTACCGAGTAAGGTGAACTTGTAATAGAATTCAAGCATATCAGATTTTTAATCATTCTGCAGTTGACGTTATTCGGTCATAAAACTTAAGATCAAAATAAAAAAACTCCAAAAACCATCTATGTCAATAACTAAAATTGCTTGAAACCAAAATGTTGATTATAAGTCATTCACCATTATTTTTTATCAATAGCTTATAACGATGACTTTTCGGTATGAAGTAGGATAATGACTAATTACTTCTCACTGACAGATGAAAGTCCTTTGGTTAACGTGTGATTGGATTGTCAATTGTCTAGTTTACACAAAATTACGCCACCGTACACCATTGTCTTCAGTGAGCTGATATCTCACAACAGACTTGGTTTAACACCACTGGTCACGGCTTCTCACTAGAACTCCAGGAAATGCTTCTTGAAGTCAGTTACTAGTGAGCAGATGATTATTATCAGAAAAGGGTTTTGTGGAGATTTTAGTAATTTCGATAGTTGAAATCATGAGTCGTTAGCAGTGCCCATCCACAATCATGCCCTCCGCAAGATTCGAACCCAGGTGTCCCATACTAGGACGAAACAGCCGTTCAATGACTCCAGGTTTTCCACGGTGGTTTAGCTTCGATTGACTCATGATTTCAACTATTGAAATTACTGAAATCTCCA